CTGTCGCGCCTTCCTGGCTTGTCGTGTGCTTGGGGCTCAGGAATCGTATTTCGTGCTGTCGTACTCGTTGTGCTCTCTGAGGGTCTGCGGCTGCGTGAGCCTCGTTGGATCGCCATGCTCTCGATGATGATGCTGATGGTGATGCTGATGATCCCCAGACCGCTGCTTTCCCTTCCCTGCCCTCGATCGAATCGAGGCAATCGGGCCGAATGATGCGAGGACGTCGATGCAGCGTAGGTCACCCCAGGGGGTCGAAGATCAATCGCGCCCCGCGCATCGCGGCCTTGGCCGGAGAGCTGCCCTTCTCCAAGGTGGCCTCGCGAGGGCGCGAAGGTAGGCCCCGCGTCGTGCATCTCGGGGCGCGATGCGCGACGTTGGCGACCTGGAAGCAGCGTTTTGTCAGTGTCGGGTTGACGTGTCGTCCCCAATTACTCTGAGCCAAACTGACTACTGACAATGTGCATGCACAGGGGTATGGCAGCATGTGTTCCGCTACTGCCCTCCCCTCTCCCTTTCCCTCACTCCCTACCCTCGCATCCCCGCCCTCCCCTCTCCCCATATCTCCTCTTTCCGGTGCTCTTGCCTCTTGCTCCCCGTTCCTTCCCCTCGCCTCCCCCGCTCGTTGTTGCGTCATCCCTCAACTAGGGATTGGAAAGAAGGCGGAAGGTGGAGGGGCAGAGAGGGAGACTGGGGTAGGGGAGGGGAGGGGAGGGGGGGTATAGGGGGAAGGGAGGTGGAAAGGAGGTCTGGGGATGGGGAAATTGGGGAGGCCTCCAGGTGGGAAGGGAGGGCCGGTGAGGGGAGTGGTGGGGTAGAGGAGGTGAGGGCTGCGGGAGCGGAGGAGAGGGGAGGGGAAGGCCTCTGGGCTGCCGCTTCTGCCCTGCCGCCCCCTCTTCGCCCCAGCGCAAGTGGATCGCCGCGACCGTCGCCCTGGAGAGCGCGTCGGGCGTGCGCTGAGGGCGGCCAGCGACGCCCGCCCGTCCGTTGGCGTCGCTGTCGCCGTCGTCGTCGCTGTCGTCGGTCACCGTCGCCGCCGCCGTCGCCGTCGTGGTCTCGTCGTCGTCGCGCGCTGGGGGCAGCGAGGGCCGCGTCGGCACAGGCGCCGGGACACTGGACTAGTCTCGCGATCCCATCTACCCTCGTTCGTGCATTCTCCCGATCCTCTCCCTCCTCCTGCCAGTGGGAAGGGCGGGCGCGCCAGGGAGGGGGGTCCAGTGCCGATCCAGGAAATCCGGGCGGACCTCCGAAAGTTTCTGTTTAGGGCTTTCTTTCTTTTTCTCTTTGTAGGAAAAATCGGCAGCACACAAAAAAAAACTGGGGTCTTCCCCAGGGGCAGTTCTTCGCCCGGAATCCGTTTCCGGGGGCCCCCGGGGCTCGAAAGCGGCCCACGGCAGGCCGAGAGCGGCGGAGGGCCGAGAGAACGGCGAAGATCGATAGAGAACTCGTCGTCGTCGTCTTCTGGCCAGCGCTCCTGTCCAGAGGCCGTTCTTCGAGGAAGAAAAAACGCTATAAGCTTAAACTTTCGGGGGTCCGCGCGGATTTCTTGGATCGGCGCTGGGCCCTTCCGGCGGCGCCTCCGGCGCCGCTCTTGGCGCGCTCTGCGCGCCAGTGTACGTATAAGGTTTTTTTTCCTGACTATAGTTTCTCTTCAAACTCTGGCAAGTTTATTTGCACGGAGGGGGTCGGGCAAGGCCCCGAAGGAGATCTGGACTCCGCTCAGGCCGAAACCCACTTGCACGCTGTACCGGCCTTGCACTGCCTCGTGAGGCGGCGGAGCCAAAATCCCATGCAAGCGAACCTGCCTGAATCCAGTGACGCGCTCTCCCGAACATCGGCTCAGAATCGAGCCCCGGGCCTCCAACGTGGTCCGTCCGGCTCGGCTCTTTCGCCCCGGATCGATGTCTGAGGGCCCCAGGGCCCGACATTCGGGTGAACGTAAAGGGGGGTGGCCCAGACGGGGGGTGAACTCGGACGGCCTCGGAGGCGGCGCAGAGGAGGTCTGAAATGAAATGTGATTCAAGCGTTTCGCTCACTCCGCTTGTCCATATTGCATGATCGCGCCGTGGTGGGCTAGCCGAGTTTTGGGGCCTGTTGAGGGCCGTTTTGGGGCCTCTTGGGGCCTCTTTTGGGACCTCCTGGGCGGCTTCTGGGGCGGAGGGCTCGATTTTTCAGTTCTCTGTATCCCTCTTGAGCCCCTCTTGGGCCCGTCTTGGGGCCTCTTGGTCCGTCTTGGGCGGCACTTGGGCAGTCTTGGGGGCCCTCTTGGGCCGTTTCGGGGCCGTCTTGGGAGCTTCGTGGGCCGTCTTGGAGCGATCTTGGGCGCCTCTTGGGTCGTCTTGGAGCGTCCGGAAGCCGAAAAAGCCAGAACGCAAAAAAACATCGGAAAAACCAATGAGAATCAACGATTTTGGCCTCTTGGGGCCCTCTTCGGAGGCCTCTTGGAAGGCTCTTGGGGCGTCTTGAAGGCCTCTTCGGCTGTCTTGGGGGTCTCTTGGGTCGTCTTGGGGTCATCTTCGGCGCCTTGGAGCGCTCTTTGAACGTCTCGGGGGCCTCTTGAGCAATCTTGGGGGCCTCTTGGGGCACTCTTGGCGCGCTCAGGGCGGCCTGAGAGGCCGCACCCAGAAGGAAAACCATCTCTGAGTTGAACCGGGCGGGACCTTCCCAGGCGGCGGGCGGGGTACTTTTCGCCGGGGGACCCCCAGGGGCCGCCCCGCGCGCGCGAACTAGCACAATACAATTGTTAACCAGTTACCGGAGATCTTAGCACGCCTCTGGCCCGTTGGGCCGGCGAATATAACTCCTCCCTGTCGCACCTCGAGGCCAGTTTTCAGGGCGGGCCGAGCGTTTCGCCTGAGACTTCCTCACCATTTATGACCCTCAAGCTTAAGAGGTGACAGCAGTTTCACAGATGGAGGGCGGGTCGTTTTCAAAATATGGCTCTCGCCTCAACGCCGCGCACATTCATTCAGAAAACTTGCAAGAGCTTCACGGAGTGAGGGCGGGTTGTTTTCAAAATGTGGTTCTCGCCTTAGCGCCGCGCGCATTCGTCTTGAAAGTTTGCAAGAGTTTCACGAATTGAGGGCGGGTCGTTTTCCATATGTGCCTCTCGCCTTAGCGCCGCGCACATTCGTCTAACACATTGCAAGAGTTTCACGGATTGAGGGCGGGCCGTTTTCAAAATGTGGCTCTCGCCTTAGCGCCGCGCACATTCGTTCAAACAAATTGTAAGAGCTTCACGAATGGAGGGCGGGTCGTGTTCAAAATGTGGCTCTCGCCAAAGCGCCGCGCACATTCGTTTTGAAAAGTTGCGAGAGTTTCACGAATTGAGGGCGGGCCGTTTTCAAAATGCGGCTCTCGCCTTAGCGCCGCGCGCAATCGTCTTAAACATTGCAAGAGTTTCACGAATTGAGGGCGGCCCGTTCTCAAAATGCGGCTCTCGCCCAGGCGCCGCGCGCATTCGTTCAAACAAATTGTAAGAGCTTCACGAATGGAGGGCGGGTCGTGTTCAATATGTGGCTCTCGCCTTAGCGCCGCGCACAGTTTTGCGTGTGTGTTTTATTATGTCATGTTTGCAAGAGTTTCACGGATTGAGGGCGGGTTGCTTTCAAAATGTGGCTCTCGCTTTCGCGCCGCGCACATGAGGGCGGGCCGTTTTCAAAATGTGGCTCTCGCCTTAGCGCCGCGCGCATTCGTTCAAACAAATTGCAAGAGCTTCACGAATGGAGGGCGGGTCGTATTCAAAATGTGGCTCTCGCCAAAGCGCCGCGCACATGTCGCTTTTTCTTGTGTGTTTTATGATGGCTAATTTGTTTTGCAAGAGTTTCACGGACTGCCATGATCAACGCACCAGAGATTTTGTTTGGGATGGGTTCAGGATTATGCGGGCGCAAGAAGTATGTTGTGTCGCCTTGTTGGAGTCACACAAACGGCGTTCTGGCAGGATTCTGGATCGTCAAGACGCAGCAGTCAGGTGGATACATGGCGTTGAATTCCCGAAAACCATGCTTTGTCACGCTTCGGGATCTTCCAACTGCTGCCTTCCAACGAGGCAGTTCCCTCAATGGAAATGAATCGTTGTAAGGGCCTATGAAGAGGGAGCTTGGAGGGAGGGTTGATTCCAACATCGTTGATGACTCTTGGGTTTCCACTGGCCATCCTCCTCCTCCTCCTCGATCCTCCTCCTCGATCCTCCTCGGTCCTCCTCCTCGATACCCCTCCTACTCCTCCTCCTTGATCCTCCTCCTCGTCGATCCTCCTCTTCCTCCTCCTCCTCCTCCTCCTCCTCCTCCTCCTCCCTCCTCCTCCTCCTCCTCCTCCTCCTCCTCCTCCCCCTCCCCCTCGATCCTCCTCCTCCTCCTCCTCCTCCTCCTCGATCCTCCTCGTCCTCCTCCTGTTCCTCCTCTATCCCCCTCCTCCTCGATCCTCCTCCTCGATCCTCCGGCTCGATCCCCCTCCTCCTCTGGACCCCTTCTCCCCCGTGGCCTCCCCCCCGGGACGAGCCGTTCTCGGACAGCCCCCGGAGCCCGTGGAGGGCCCCAGGAGCCCGAAAGCGGAGAAGCACCTCGGGACCCGCTTCCCTCTGGACCCGATTCACCCCCCCATGGCTATGCTCCACCTCCGTCGGACGTCTGCGGGAGTCTCT